CAAAACAGTCGTGCTGCACAATATTTTTGTGGAAACCGTGATACACTACCATTCAAAATGTTGCGGTCAGTGAGATTTAAAGAGAAAAGTCATATTTTTATTCAGCAAGGATGCATTAAATTGATTAAAATGGACTGTAAATTCATTTATAAGTGGAGTAATGATGGTGAAAATTCACCTTTGCATCACAAGAATAAATCATATTATAAAATATATTCACATAGAAAAGTTATTTTAAACTGTAATAATATTTCACAGTATTTTAGATCAAATTTCAAGAACATTAAAAATCCTAGTTATTCCAGTCTTTTGACCAGTAGTGTTAATGTTTTTACTGTTACGTTTGATCAAAGTATGAATTTCTTTTGACCCAAAACTTTAATATATGCAAGTAATTTTTGAAACGGAGCATTTGAGATTGCTTTAATTAATTTTCTTGAAAATTATTTCCAGGAAAAATAATGAAACTTTCCACATCTTGGAAGTTTGTTTAAATCAGAGAAACTATTAAAACATCTGTCTTATCGGCCTCGTTCTCATCCAGTCAAAACAAGGACGAATGATGAAACTACTGTGAAATACATTTGATATCACAAGCAAAATCATTGCAAATATCCCAGCCCTGATGGATTCAAACGTGGCCCTGCAGCACAAAAGCAGTCTTAAGTCTCTGGGGTATATTTGTAGCAATAGCCAACAATACATTGTATGGGTCAAAATTATACAAGTTCTATATAAGGAATGTAAGTTGCAGGAACGTCCACACCACACACACACTCTCAGACGACTGGTTCTCAGGGTGTTAATGTGTAATTTCTGTGTTCCAGATTAAAAACGTGCTGAATTCTGCCCGGCTGCTGGGTGACGCTTCGGTTTCATTCACTAATAACTGTGTGTCTGGAATCGAGGCCAATACAGAGAGAATCAACAAGCTGATGAACGAGTCTCTGATGCTGGTCACGGCGCTGAACCCTCACATAGGTAACCACAGCAGAGGGCGCTAGAAACACTTTATTCCTGAATCCAGATGAAGATTTGAGCAAATCAGGGGCCAGTTGTTCAGAAAGTGTAATCTGGATCAGATTGATCTGGATTTGGAGATCCCATCTTAAACCCGTCTTACTTTTGTGCTGGTTTTTCAAAGCAAAACTGGATTGGATCACCCTGATCCAGATACACACTTTTCCAGATTTCTGAATCTGGATTACTAGAGCTCTACGGAGCCCCTAAAGGGACATGATGATGGAGAAAAACATGCTAATGTTTAGCATGTTATGATAAAGCTGCCACTATTGCAAAGACTGCGCACAAAGAAGGCTTGACTCTGAAAGCCACGGCCGTCAAGCTGGGCTTCCTGACAGACGAGCAGTTTGAGCAGTGGGTGCGACCGCAGGACATGCTGGGACCCAAATAGATCAGAACCACGGGACGCCTGGATAAAGGTCACGGGAATGATGCGTTTGTAGAATAAAACACCCGTTTCATTCAAATGCATTGGTCCTGTGCATAATTTCTGTAATTTAATTACAGTTACTACTTATGTAATTGAACTTAATACTGTGTATAGACTGTAGAACATTTATACACAATAGTGGATTTAACATCAGAATTTAAAGTCTAACCTTAAAATGCATGCTTTTATGTAAAGTTCGTTGTGTAACACGAGATCATCAGTAGCATCTGCTGATGTGTGCACTTACATTTATTCATTTGACAGATGCTGTGTTTTCAGGGTTTAATATTTGATCAGTGTTTGTGCTCCCTAAACCTCACAGAAATATATCCATCCCCAAATCAAGAGTATAAAATAATGGGAAATATGTTTACTTTTACTTTTTGGTTGTGTGAGTGTAATTGTAGTTTTCTTTTCTAGATGGCCTCTAAATCATCCTGGTATTATACTGTGTTACGTTAAGACAAAGGTTTATTTACAGTATATTGCACATTTCATACGCAATTCTAATTCAAAGTGATTAAAAAAAAAAAAAAGTAAAAAGCATAAATATTTAAATAAAAAAAAGAAAATCATAAAAAAGGTTCATAAACATAAAAAAATATATAATAATAATATAATATAAAACACATATGTATACAAATAGCTATCTATCTATCTATCTATCTATATATATGTTGCTCACAGAAACACATTTATTTGCTGGGTGAATCTCACTAAACCAGTTAAGAAAATTTAAATTATATTTCACTTCAAAATCAAAAGAAAATTACATTTTGCATGAGGAAAAATATATATATATTTTTTTTACATAATAATGTATTTGTCGTTTCCCCCCAATATTCTCTGTAATATAAAGAAAAAAAGATTTATATTTGTTGCATTTCCTTTCATTTGCAAATTAAGTATTAATACTATTATATAGATGAATATTTTAAAATTAGTTATATTTGTGTTTTAATTCTAGTTAAACCTTTTGTATTTTTGTTATGTGGTTTTGTCATTATTAGTATTTGATGTCTTTATTATTAGTGCTGTCAAACGATTAATTGCGTGCAAAATAAAAGTTTTGTTTGCATAATATATGAGTGTACTGTGTATATTTATTATGTATATATATATATATATATAAATACACTCATGCATGCATACATTTCAGAGAAATGTTCATTAAATATATTTATAATATAAATTATATGAATATAAATATAGACATGTAAATATTTTAAAAATATATGCATGCATGTGTGTGTATTTATATATATATATACATAATAAATATACACAGTACACTCATATATTATGCAAACAAAACTTATTTTGGATGCGATTAATCGCAATTAATCGTTTGACAGCACTATTCATTTTATTTATAGTTTTAGTTATTTTAGTATATCAAGTTAAACTAAATGAGAATGAGAAGTGTTGCTTTGGCAACTAGAATCTAAAATAAAGTTTAATTTTAGTTAGCATTTATTATTTTTAGTTAACTGTAGTAACCGTGTTCACGTCTCAGAAACAGGTCGGGCTTGTTTAATATTGTGTGAGATGTGAGCAGGTTTCCTCTGATGATGATGATGATGATGATGATGATGATGATGATGATGATCCTCACAGAAGCGGATCTTCCTGAACTCATCTCTGGCATTTCACTTGCTCTGCTGCTTCCTGACTGGTATGTTAATGTCTGTGAGTTCATTCCCAGCATGCCGCGGGGCGGCGGGGGTCAGAGCGGCATATGGTCACGACAGGAGAGAAGCTCCTTCAGGAGACGCAGGCTCCAGATCAGTGTGTGTTTGGCTTCATATCAGTGTGTAACGAGACACAGCTGCTCATCTGAGCACACTCAGCACACCGGGGCTAGTTGTCACATGGGGAAGCAGTCACACAGTCTGTATCTCAGTTACACAAGCACTTGTTTCTTCTCCAACAGTGGTTGTGTATATTGGTTTTAAGTTACACTCTCAGAAAAAAGGTACAAAAGCTGTCACTGGAGCAGTACCTTTTATAAGATACAAATATAGAGGCTTTAGGTACAAAGGTGTGCTTTTGAAATGGTACCGCTTGTACCTTTTTTTCTGAGAGTCTAGAGTATTTTATGAATATTTCTATCCTCCAAACTAACAGTGCAATATCATCCTATTTTATTTATTTCTGTCACTTATTTGATTTATTCATATATTTTTGTGAATCTGAGACACTGTTGTTATTGCCAACTAAAACTAAAAGTATTTCAAATCATTTTCAGTAATTGAAATAAAGCTGAAATAAAATAAAATATAAATATTACATGAAAGACAATTCATTTTTTATTTTCAAAAAGTTTAAATGACTAAAACTGAATTTTAAAATGTAATCTGTATATAGAAATATTTTTTAAAAATAAAAATGAAAAGCACATTACAAAATTACTAAAACTTAAACTGAAATTAAAATTAAAATGTATAAAAGATGGTTCAAAATATTACTAAATACTATAATTTTTTTCTGAAGTTGGAAATTATTGAAAAAATCATTGGAGTAAGTTTTACAATAAAAACAAATTCACTTTTTCTACTTCAAAATTTAATGTCTAATTTAATGCTACTTGCCATTTCTTTGTAATCATTTGTGAAATCTACTAGCAATTTCTGAGTGATTTTCAAGACCTTTAAAAGTAAACCCACCCTGAGAAATATTGACTGGAGTAAAAGAGTGACAGGCCGTTAAAGTTTATTTCTAGAACAGAATCGATCTGCATGTCGTCTCTCGCATCCATTTCACATTAGTCAGACGATGCTGTAAGACTCTTCTGCATTAAGTGTGTTTTAAGGTTTGGCGGAAGCCAGATGAGTAAATAAAACTTTACTTATATCACATTTTAAAAATGAGGCTGGATTTCTGAGATGATGTGGATTATAACCTTTGAGACTAAAACTAGACCAAAAGGTGCTCACTTGAGATCAGGATGAGTTTGTGTCTTCATCAGATTCTGAGAAATGTAGCATTGCATCAGTGTCTCACTGCAAGTGAATGGGTGCCGTCAGAATGAGAGTCCAAACAGCTGATAAAAACATCACAATAATCCACAAGTAATCCACAGCACTCCAGTCTATCAGTTAACATCTGGAGAAGACAAAAGATGAAACTAATATAGCATTAAGATGTTTTTAACTCAAATACGAGTCCATAATCCATAATAAGGCTTCCTCCAGTGAAAAAGTGTTCTGGTGTGAATCAGGAGAGAAATCTGCACAGATCAAGCAGTGTTTAAACAGCTCTAAACACATATGTGGCTGGATTTTGATGTGACATTAATTGCTGGACTGGAGTGCTGTGGATTATTGTGATGTTTTTATCAGCTCTCATTCTGACGGCACCCATTCACTTGCAGTGAGACACTGATGCAATGCTACAATTTGTCCTGTGTGCTGTAAACATGTGGCATGTAACGAGCAGCTCTGTACAGAGCAGTAACCTTCTCTTCTCAAACCCCGCGGGCGTTCATTATCTGCTGCAGTTTTATCGCCCTTTTATTGCAATAAACAGTCTGATTAGACTGGCTTCTGCTAATATATGACATTTGAGGATTGCTGTGCCCTCTGTTATATTAGAGTGTGTTATATAATATTAAACAATTTAGTCACGGTCTGTGTTCTGAGTTATAAATGCTTGCATTTTCTATCAGTGGTTCAATATCGAACATTTAGTTCAGACTTTCTAGAATAAAATTTGTGAATTCTGGCTTAAATTAAAACCCAATACGTTCACAATTTTTGCTGTTGATGAACAGTTGAACAGAATAAAATCAGATTAGTCACTGAAGGTCGATTTCATCTGAAAGGTATTTTTCATAAATGTCAAATGGGGGTAAGTTGTCACACGTGTTTTAAATGTTAATCACATTTCCTTTTAGCCAAAAACAATGTTATCTGTACCATTTAGCCTACATTTTACAGCTTCGTGAATTATTTAGTACTTTATGATGATTAAACCCCAAAACTGGACTTTCAAAAATAGCATTTTTCATACATAATGGTAGTTCAACTTGCTTTAGCAAAGAAAAAAAAGAAATATAAAAGTCAACTTAAATAATTTAAGAACATAAAAATGAACAAGGAAAGAAAATAAAACTACAATAAAATTCGTTTTACAAATAGCCAATTAAAATTGAAATAATGCAGTGCAATATAGACATGCATACACTTATAATTATTTTTTATAGCCTAGTAGTAAATAAAACAACAATTTTTGGAGTACGTTTTACAAGAAAATACTAAATGTGTCCCTGGAGCACAAAAGCAGTGTTAAGTCCAGTAGAACGCCACTAAATGACATAATAAAGAGTAGCGCAGAATAATAAGTGTAAATGATGATGTTGTGTGTGAGTGTAATGAAATGTGTGACGCGGCGCGCGCTCGTGGACCCTGCGCGTTCACGCTGTAGTTGCTGCTGCAGGAGAGGAACGCGATAGTGGAGACACCGAGGGGCAGATAACTCCGTTTCCATGAATAACTGCCCCTTCAGCGCGACCGCCAGCTGACGCACTGCCCTGCGCGAACCCACGCGGACGGAGGAGCGACGCGGCGCGATCGTGCGAGGTAACGTTACGTGATCATCATCATCACATCGGTGTGGTGCTGTGAGATTTTTCATCAGGATCTGGTGTTATTATATATTCATAAAAGCTGTAGCATCTCTGTCTGTCTGTCTGTCGTTCTGTGCATCTAACAGTCCATCCATTAAACTGTCTCTCTGTCATTCTCTATCTATCTATTTATCTATCTGTCTGCCTGTATGTTATTCTGTCATTCATTGTTTCTATTTATCGTTTGATCAATCTGTCTGTCTGTCTGTCTGTCTGTCTGTCTGTCTGTCTG